TATCTATCTATCTATCTATCTATCTATCTATCTATCTATCTATCTATCTATCTATCTATCTATCTATCTCCAACATCTGTTGGAGATAAAGTCAGGAATGAATATATTTTACTCATAGCTATATATATATATATGTATATATTGCACACACGTGTGACACCAGGCTGTGCGCCAAGCAAATCGTGTCACAATAATATTTATACAAAAGAAAAACGTTCCACCATTTGCAATTCAAGGCTAAAGGACTGCGGATTTTGACTTGAGCTTGATGGGAAAAGGTGTACGAGCAAAAACATCCTCTACATGATGACCTTTAGGAATACCGCTTTCACATATCAGTTGGTCTCCCCCTTCCCGGCTAAAGTGTTCTATCAAAACTTAGTTGTCCATCAGTGAGCACAAATCCATACCAGTAGGAATACGATTGTAAAAAAATCGTGATACTGGAAATTTATATCGACCCCGTTAGTTTATCCAAATTATTTACCGGTGGTATTATTGTCTCCAATGGGGTAAGCAGTACACATACGTGTCTGTATCGGGCAATACAGCATTATTCAAGACACATAATCCAATATTCATCTACCCTGTTTTTCATATCATTCTTACAATCAGCTCATCTGGGCTAAGACCACAGATGTCGGATGCGGGGTAAGAGACTGCGGCTCTGGTGCCACGTTTCCGTACGGTTTGTCGATCGTGTGCAACTATGGTCCGGGGTAAGTTCAGCACTGCCAGCTATATTTGTTCAGTTATAAGGAACAAACAATTTGGTGTTCTTGATCATAATAGTGATGACTGTTGTGACTTGCAGTTGTTTGCAATGTTGCCCGTTCGTGCTTAGGACTTGTCTGACCGATACTGCCTGCTACTACACGCACGCACTCACGCCATGCGGACAGACTCCATTACAATATCGATTGGCTCCAGCCAATCAGATGTTAGTATTGAACTGCCCGCGCTGATTGATTCGCTCACTGTTTGAATACCTCGTTGACCGCATTAAGAGG